TTTAGAGACGAATTTAGTTTACATAATTTGTCTCTAAAGTAATATTTTACATAACTCATTTCAAAATTCTTTATAGACGGAACTAAAATTCTTTAGCAACGGAAAAAAAATGTTGCTAACGTCTCTAAATGTAGTCACAGAAAAGAAAAAAAAAAAAACGTTTCTAATTTTGCAATGGAAGAAATCCGTTTTTGATTTAGAGACGGATTTTTCAATTGCGTTGCTAATTTAGAGATAGATTTTATAGTTCCGCCACTAAATTAATTTAGAGCCAGATTTTCCTAATTTTGTCTCTAATTTTGAAACGGATTGAATTCTGTCGCTAGAATTCTGTTTCTATAAGGACAATTTTTTTGTAGTGAAATAAGGTCATGTGCCAAGATGTGATATTCTACTAAAAAATTTGAGATAAGGTTTCATCTCGTTTAAAAATTCAATTTCAAGATTTTAAGTTGCTAGATTTTAAAAAAATTATTTCTCACAAATCGATCTATATAAAGCGGATTTTTATGAAAGAATTTCCTAAAATTTTACCAATTTAAACTTATTTTTACTATTCTCTATTATATATTTTCCTAATTTTGTCTCTAATTTTGAAACGGATTGAATTGCGTCGCTAGAATTCTATTTCTATAAGGACAATTTTTTGTAGTGAAATAAGGTCATGTGCCAAGATGTTAGATTCTACAACAAAATTTGAGATAAGGTTTCATCTCGTTTAAAAATTCAATTTCAAGATTTTAAGTTGCTAGATTTTAAAAAATTTATTTCTCACAAATCGATCTATATAAAGCGGATTTTTATGAAAGAATTTCCTAAAATTTTACCAATTTAAACTTATTTTTACTATTCTCTATTATATATATGTTATATAGATTTAATAAACTATTGAAACTTATTTGTAATGAACTAGACATATTCTTGCCGAACATAACTTATTTTTATTGAAATAATAATTTTTGTTATTTATTACTATTATAAGATTTTTCTTACTAATATATGTTATTAAAGTGAATAAATTAAGGCCTTAAAATAGTGTGTTGATACCATATATGTAGTAGTGCAAAAAATATACTTAACATATCAAATAAGGGATTAATAATAATTTGATAATTTTCTAATAATATTTTCCTAAAATGATATTTAATTTATTTCTAATCTTCGCTCTTCGTTGGCTTATATAATTTTTTTTTTTTTTTTTTTTTTTTTTGACTTTCTTTATTGATTTGGTGCGTAAATCTCACGAATCTGCTAAACATATACATTGTCAGACTAATGGCTACAAGTCATTGGCAGATCTTTAACTAATCTTAAGAGACCATGTATACAAGATATAGTGAATAAATTTGTTTGATGTCAAACAATAAACAAAAATATTTTATCACATTTTTGTACTTTAATATTTTTAACAAAATAAGTAAGCTTTAATGATTCTATTACCGCTTGTTACTCAATACTCACTTCATTATTCAACAATTAAAATAGTTTCCAAAATGTAGTATAATTACAAAATAAAACTAATAATTCAGTCAAATTTTACGAAGAATATATTTATATGTTATTCATGATTGTGATATCAATTTATAGAGGCTTGAATCTATGTATCATAAGGCTTCTACATGAATGATAGAATAATCTTTTAAAATATAACATAAAATATTATATAAATAGGATAAACTAAATTAGGGCGAATTAAAAAAATAATAATAAAAAGTGTCAAACAATCATCACAATACCATGTAACTTTCATTCATTACTTGTTAGCTTCTCAATTTTGTCACACTAATCCACAAAGTTTAGAGGACAAAGAAGAGCTTTTAATGTGTAGACTTGTCATTTTCAAGATATTTAAGCATAGAACTTTGTTACTCCTTTCCTGTCTTCTCTTTCTCACCCTCTCTTTCTCTTTTTTTTTTTAAATTTCATTAATTAATGAAATTTTCTAAACCTTTTATAAAACTTGTACTCTATGCACACGATGAGTACAAATGGACATATTCGTATAACTTAATCAATAAGGATATAGAACTATGTTATAAAATAGGGAGAAATATAAGAGAGATTGATAGATAATAAATTAGTCACATTTATTCCATAGAGTGGGGATATATATATATATACATACAATATAACTAGGGTTTTCTTATATAACAATAAACCCTAATTCTAGAACATTCCAAAATGATAAATGATGATAATGTATATCCATACAATAATATTTCATAACACTCCCCCTTGGATGTCCATTATCGAAGAGTGTGCCTCGTTAAAATCTTATTAGGAAAAACCCTATGGGATAAAAACCTAATGAAGGAAAAAGAGTACAACATTTTTTGTAATACGCTCGAGATGCTGCCTCATTAAAAACCTTACCAGGAAAACCCAATGTGGGACAAAACCATGGTCAAGGAAAAAAGAGTACAGCTCGTATTTTCTCCCCCTGATGAATACATAGCTTGAGAATCCAGTATGTTAGATATCTTCTCATATGTAGTATAATATCACTCGTTGATCTTCGATACTCCTAAACTGAAATTGCATCTTCAAGTCTTCACATAAACATGTGAAGTGTCTTCATTTCACCATACATGTGTTAATCTCTAATATCATTATTTTAAATATCTGTTTAATAGTTGATTCAAAGTATAAACTTATACGATTATGACTTCTTCTGGAAGTCGTTGATAATAAATATTGATGATCATTATTTGATCAAACATTCATCAATACGAGTAATAATTTGATGACAAAACTTTATTAATATCATTCTTCTCATATGAATTATAATATAACACACGTAATTATATAGGCTAATCATGGTTCTTCTGGACCATAAAAAAAACATTGTTACGCATAAGTGATCCATTGATATTCTTTAGACGTTTCATAATTGACACGATAGCTCTTTTGCAAATACAAATAGTAAATCTCATTAACTCTCATATGCTCAAACTTCAGGTTGAGATGTCAATAATGTTGTTACGTACATAGATTTTCAAGAGTTTGACAATAATTGCCAATTCAAGATATAAACTTTGTAGGGCTTGATATTACAATAGGTAGTATATAAGTTCTTCAAGAACTCTTCTTAATTCATAATGTGCAATTAAATCGGTTTCATCAATAATTTCATCACAATTATAAACCCATTGGAATATTAATATATCTTTTTAATTTTTTCATCAAAGTTGTAAACATATCTTACTATACTTTGAATGAACATTTACATACACCACAGTTATTGTAAGAAATTAATGCATGCAATATGAGATATAGAAAATATGATACCATATTAACAAATATACAATGAGTAATGCATTTAACAATTTCATATATATGCAATAAATATCCATTAACTTATGACTCACACATGCACATGAATATAAAACTCAAAATATGCAAGACACTGTACAGTGTAAATTTAAAAATCCATATTTCATTGGACTTCTGGTCCATAATAAACTTTTGATCATTATCATTGTGTCGACAATAAAATGGACATATATTTCAGATCCCTTATTCACTAGTCCATTCTATCATGCATATGCATATTATTCATCGGTTCCATTATGTACCGGTATCATAAAATTCTTATAACGTATATTTCGCATGCTATTTTACTATGATATCTGAATGCATTTCTCATTGGTACCATCATAACTTTTGTTACACAATAGGCCATCTATTATAATAATTTAGATATATGTACCACATATCAAGGGTGTTTCTCACACTATGATATTAATATACTATTATTATACTTTAAAAGTATCAACTGCACTATCTTGCCGTACATCGCATATTTCTTTTGGAACCGATTATACAAACTACACTTCAGGTGCAATGATTTAAAGTAAATTGGCAAGATCTATCTTAATGTATGCACATAATATCATTATCACTATAATCAAAATATATCTCTCTATTCCTCTCGATGGGTCATAACGGTATACAAATCAAATCATAGATGTGCAACATATGTTAATACAATAGTTGGCATGTAACTTTACAAAGTATCATTAGAGGGATCAACTATTTATAGTATTATAATTCTGCCAACTTACTTCAATTCTTCCCTCTAAGTTGGTAAAATATTTCAAATGTTGGGGCAATTCTTCACCAACTTGGAATATAATTTCATGTGCATCAAATTTCATCTCGTAGGATAATGATATATATTCAACAAAGATCTACCTCTTCTGGAGAATAATGAAATTTTGTTCTCTTCTAGAGATTAATATTAATAGGGGGTAATGAATTGTGCAGTTGCTAAATTCTTATTCTATTCCTTATGTGCTGACATACAATAGCCCCAATCAAGAGAATTGTTATACAAATATAAACTTTCTTGTAATTTCACTAGGTGGTGATCTTCGGGATCAGTAAAACATTGATAGTAATATTAGTTACTTAAAATTTTCACATATAACTTGTACGTGGTGAACTTCTGGTCACCTAATATTTGTCAACATATATATTATTCTAGTGAACTTCTGGTCACCAATAATTCAGAAAAACCAATATATTATCTCTTGAACTTTTCTTTTTAACACAAACTATTAAAAATCACAATTTAAATATATCTCAATCTTAATGTTATGTCTTGCCATTCAATTTATTTCATATATTTAACATGATTGAGAGACCGTCAGCACATTATTTCTTTCATATTAAATGAAACTTCAAGTTTTCATGACGGGAATTTATTAAATCCCGAAAAGCCTAATTATTAATTATCACATCCAATCACTTTTCCTTTAGTATTTAAATTATGGTCAGTTTTATAATATTGGTGATCACCTTATTAGAGTACTTTATGCATGTCCATGAATATAAGTACACCAATGTGTTTCTTTCTACAATTGGCAAGACAATTAACTAATACTCATACTCCACTAGAGCATTGAATGTAATCCTGATACATGATAATCTTGTTGGACAACATTTTATACTCTTCTGGAATACTTTATATAACCATAACACATTTTAATGTACTAGAAATGATCTCTTCAGAATATGCATCAAAATGTGTCACTTTCACAAATTTGTCATTGTCAATATTGCTCATTTCATCTTCCAATGATTCTTATCATTGTAACCCTTTGGACTACCACACTTCAGGTATGCTAGTTTTAATAGCAACTAATCTTGTCCTTCTAGGATATCAACTTAATATGTACATTTATAGCTAGTATATAGGTAATGACATTTATTCATATCCATCTTCAAGATGATATCATTCTAAATATTTTATTATCATGTGACCACCTCTATTAAATAAATCATTGATATATAGACTAGTGTATGTATCAAACTGACCATCAACATATTTAATTATTCATGTGCAAGGATTACATAAAAACAATGTAATAAACACTATCTCCCCCTAACCCTTGCATATGGGGGTATAAAAATAGTGCAACAATTTTTAAATTCATTCTCTTTCTAAGCCATAAATTCTTTTAGCAATGCATGTATCAAACATTTACTAATTGAATATTGTGTACTCATGTTTACATTTCTTATGAACTTTTTCATGAATCATAATCAATAAAGTGAACAAACATTCTTTTTATTCTTTTCCATCATACATCAATATCTCATTCAGTTCCGGGAATGAGTACAACTTAGTTACAAATATATATATTTTTGAAAACCATACTTCATTATTTTACATATTTATGAAAAAGATATAATATTCCATTTTTCAAATTCATTACAAATATGATAAAAGATGAAGTTCTAATAGAACAAAACAAAGCAAAATCACCATTGTATATAGAAGCAAACTTTATAATTAAAAATTATGAGTTTTGTAGGAGGATGGAAATGAACTATAAAACTATTCATACGGTGAGTATATAATTAGCATGCAACTTCACCCTCTTTTCAATAGATAAACTAATAATTAGATTTGATCAACCATCTCATAATATTGTATAGTGGTATTAAAGTCTAGTAGATTACACAAGGCTATAATATATAACATATAAATGGAAGCATCTATATTAATATATGCACAGGCAACATTGCCACGATCAAGTTTTCTATAAGTTGAATAATTTATATAACCATAAAACTAACTATAAAGAGTATAGTATTTTAACAGTTTAACCATCAATATAGCACACATAATAAATACGGAGTATATATGCAGTAAATTGTACTTTGATTCATCAAAGTATGCTACCAATATGAATATATGATAAACACCTATTGTATAGGATAAGATTTGGAATATGATATTTTGCGTATTATACCTTTGACAAAGCCATCATGCTAATGCAAGGCCATCTAGGAATTATAAAAAGGAAATAATAATAAAGTAGGATTTATGAAGGAAATTGATTTCGTGAGGTTTGCATTATCATCAAACATAAATACATAATATATACAAGCTAAGAGTTAACAGAGAATCTCCTAACTAAATCCCTTATTACGAGGGATAACTATTGACTAAGTTAAAGCCTAACTAATTGCTAGACTATTTTGAGTATACCAAGATATAAATGGTAAATATAACACATATAAAATATACTCCGCATATGTTAAATATATATTCTAACAATTTAGGAAATTATACAAAATCGGAGATTTCATGAATATTCACTATATCCCTAATTACATTAATTAATTGTTTCACCATATTCATAACTCCTATATCTTATAGGAAACACTAATTAAGAGAAATTAATTATTTCTATTTGAACAACCCCACATCAAATTACATATATCACAAAGGGATACACATAACTTCTTTTTTATATAACAAGGAATGACAATTAACTTCTTAGATGAATAAGATAACATACATATATATAAACAAACAATCCATTTTGCATGCACCCGGTGTACAATATTTTTACTGTACATCGGACATTGTGCACGTGCCACTCATTTAATAGGTTTTTTTTAAAAAAAAAAAAAAAACAAAATCGCGAAATTTATTACCTCAAAATCAAAAAAAACGCGGCAACAATGGAGGAGAGAGAAAGTGAGAAAACGCAGCTCTTGATCATGAACTGCGGAGAGAGAAAGTGAGAAAACGAAAAAATTGTAGAAATCGATCATCAATTGAGAAGAAAAAAGGTGAAAAACGCACAAATTAAAAATTTCGATCATCAATTAAAGTAGAGAAAGTGAGAAAACTTACAAATTGAGGAATTCGATAAACGCAAATATTGGAGAATTCGATCATCAATGGAAAATTCGACTTTCGATACCACAAATTGTTGCAATCTCATCCACGAATTGCTAAAAAACAGAGGCAAATTGAAACTAAATTTGAAATCGATTTAAATCGATCAATTATAGAAGAAGAAGAAACAAAGAGTTTTGGAGATGAATTCGTACCAATCCTCAACAATATAAACAATGTAGACGATGTAGAAGAAGCAATTGAGAATGCAGAAGAAGTAATTGATAATGCAGAAGAAGCAATTGAGATTGTAGAAGAAGCAATTGAGAATGCAGAAGAACCAATTGATAATGCAGAATATCAAGTGGTTCCTGGCAAATCAATTGATTCAATTTCAGAACAAACAACCAAATCAAATGCAACTGAAGGTAATTTCTATAAACATTTTAGATTGTATGCAAAAAGTTACCCTTTTAACAGCACAAAGTTACCCTTTTAACAAAACAAAGTGACCCTTTTAACATCTCAAAGTGACCCTTTTAACATCACAAAGAGACCGTTTTAACAGCATAAAGTGACCCTTTTATATTCATAAAGTGACCCTTTTAACAGCATAAAGTGACCCTATTATATGCATAAAGTGACCCTTTAAACTAAAAAAAGTTACTCATGTAACAACATACAGTGACTCTTTTAACAGAATAAAGTCACCCTTTTCATGCATAAAAGTGACCCTAATTTCGAACAAATGTTACCATTTTGTTTTCTCTAAATTGAATTATATGCTGCCTCTGATTATAATCTGATATATTTGTATTAAATAACATATACAAATCCAATTCATGCTTCTGGTTTAGATCTTAGAGGTTCATTTTTTGGTGTGGTAAGAGAAACTTTTGAAGAAATTTTGGAATTGTATGAAAAACATGCTGCTATACTGGGGTTTTCAGTACGAAAAACATACAACTAGATACCACACACACACAAAAATAGTAACTGAGAAAAATTATGTGTGTTCTGCTGAAGGAAAGAGAAATTCAGGTTTCAAGAAAACAAAGTTAGTTGAAATGGTTAATGAAGAGGATATGAATGTGAAAACAAGAAAGCCAAGACAAGTAGCTATTACAAGATCAAATTGCAAGGCATGCATAAGAGCAAAAGTGAATAAAGAAGGAAAGTTTGAGGTAGTGGCTCATGTTATTCAGCATAACCATGAGCTAACAAGGTCACAGTGGCATTATTTGCATCGTTCTGAAAGAAAAATGACAGAAGAAAAAGCTGAAGCAATAAAAACAATGAAATCTTCAGGTCTAACTACAATGGACACTTACAATAACATGGCTACAGAGGCTGGAGGAGAACAGAATATAGGTCATAGTGTTGTTGATCATCTGAATTTTTGCTCAAGGTTAAGAATGGAACAAATTGAGGCTGGAGAAGCTCAAACTTTAGTGAACATTTTAAATCAGGAACAATCAAAGGATCCAAACTTCTTTTTTAGAGTTAAGTTTGGCAAGGATGGAAGAATTTCCAATATCTTTTGGAGAGTATCAATGATGCTAGAAGACTATAGGATATATGGAGATATGCTTGTCTTTGATACAACATACGGAACCAACAGATATAATCTTATATGTGCTCCATTTGTTGGAATAAATAATCCCTGGCATAATTGTATGTTTGCATGTTCTTTTATTGGGGATGAAAAAACAGATTCATTCGTTTGGCTACTAGAAACATTCTTGAAAGCTATGGAGAATAAAAAACCAACTTCAATATTCACTGATCAGGACTAAGCAATGGCAAATGCAATTGAGCAGGTAAAAGGTTTATATTTACATTTTACAGATTTTAAATTCTGACAATAATGTTTTCCTTTTCCCATAAAGTTACCCTTTTAAATGCATAAAGTTACCCTTTTAACAGGATAAAGTGACCCTTTTAACAGCATAAAGTGACCCCTTTATTTTCAATGTAGGTGCTTCCTAATACAAGGCATAAACTTTATATCTGGCATTTGGAACAAAATACTATAACCAGATTTGGAGCTCTTAAAAAAGACAAAGAATTCAAGTATGCATTCAACCAGTGTTTAAACATGTGTGTGACAGAACTAGAATTTGAAGCAAAATGGCAAGAAATGATGCAGAAATATGAGTTGACAGCACACTCTTGGTACCAAAGAGTGTACGAGTTGAAAGAGAAATGGTGTCCTGCCCTTAGTAGAGATTTCTTTTCAGCAGGAATCTTATCGTCACAAAGGAGTGAAAGCACTAATCATGCAATAGGATTCAGAGCAAGTAAAGCAACTACCTTGACAGAATTTTATACCATATTTAAGAAAACAATCAATCGTTGGAGAAGCACAGAGAAATATGATGAGTTTACCTGTAGCAAGTCAATAGCATTCACTTCATTGCCACTATCTGGAATGCTAAAACATGCTGCTCAGGTAAAAAGTTAACTGATAAGTACATAATTTACACATAAATTATACCTGTTTAAATGTAGCTAAACGATTTTGGTGAACAGGTTTTCACTTTGTCACTCTTTAGAGATTTTGAAGAGGAGTTTGGATATTCTATGGCAACAACTGTTCAAATGATTGGAAGAAATGAAGAATGTCTACTCTATCAGGTAGTCCTGGAAGACAAGCCATGGTCTACACATCAAGTAAACTATATACATGAGAGCCAGAATGTATGGTGTACTTGCAAAAATTTTGAAGCATCTGGATGGTTATGTTATCATTGCATCTGAATTCTACACTTGCATTCAGTAACAAGAATACAAGACAAGTATGTTTCAAAAAGATGGACTAAGTTTGCAAAAACAGAGACATGGGATAGGTTGAAGAATCAGGATCCTACACATTAATATATTCCATGGAGACAAACAATGATAAGGAAATACTACAATATAATCTTAAAGAGTCAAGAAAATGAAGAAACAAGAGAATTTATGGAAGAAAGTTTCAGAAACAGTCTTAAAATGGTGGATGACTTACTTGCTAGTGCTTCCCAGAGAGAAAGTGCAGAAGCTGCTTCTAATGTTCCTGATGTGGCACACAGCAATCACAGCAATGATGATGTTTCTTCGGCATCGAGTACAAGCACAAGTGTACCAACAATACTTGATCCACAAAGGGCTGTAACAAAAGGTAGAAGCAAGAGAGCAAAAGGAGGTCTTGAAAAAAGCAAGAGAAAAAGAAAACCAGCACTGCCACCTCCACATTCAGAATTTGGATCTAAAACACCTAATTTGAGACTCTTTTAGGAACTTTTTTAGATCATTTTTATTTTTAAAATTAATGTAATTTGTATTCTAAAACTATATATCTTTTTTTTACTATGTGACTAGTTTAATGAATATGTGATTGACACTATTATTATCATATTTTTATTTAGTTAAACGTTTAAATTAAGAGTGACCTTTTTAACAAAAGAAATGAACCTTTTTTAAGCAAAAAGTGACACTTTTAACAGAAAAAAGTGAACCTTTAATTTATTGAAAAAAGTGACCCTTTTCACATAATAAACCATTTACATAAAAGTAATTCTTTTCATGAATAAAAGTGAACCTTTTTCTAAATAAAAGTGACCCTTTTCATAGCTAGAATTACCCTTTCTATAAATAAAGTCTACGTTTTTCTTGTTTAAAAGTTACCCTTTCTATAAATAAAAGTTACCCTTTTTCTGCATAAAAGTTACCCCATAAAAAACAGAAAAAACCCCTGACCCTTTTAATTTACAGAAAAAAGTGACCTTTTTCACATAATAAACCATTTACATAAAAGTGAACCTTTTCATGAATAGAAGTGACCCTTTTTCTACATAAAGGTGACCCTTTTCATAGCTAAAGTTACCATTTCTAACAATACAATCTACCTTTTTCTTGCTTAAAAGTTACCCTTTCTATAAATAAAAGTTACCCTTTCTATAAATAAAAGTTACCCTATCTGCATAAAAGTTACCCCATAAAAAATATAAAAATAAATCTTTTAATTACTTTATGTATTCACATACATCAGTATTCCAAAAACAACTAAAGACTTTAAACTAAGTTTAATTACATCATTAAATTTAATGTATGCACATACATTAAGTTTTTTCATTGTTAAAAAAAAATCCCTGACCTAATCAGCTAACAACTATCAGTTATTTCACTATTTAGACGGAGTAAACTTTTTTGCATGCTTTTTTTGCCCTTTTTCCTTTGGTCTTTTCCTCTTCTCCCTCTGCCTTTGCTTCTACTTCTGCTGCCATTTTTCTTTCTTTTGTTTCTCTCTTCTTCTTCACAACAATTGCAGCCTTTAATCTTTCTTCAATTCCATTGACATAAGCAGGATCTTTCTTCTTCTCATTGAACTTGTGTAATTCTGACAACACATCGTTCCTAGATTCATTCAAATCACACAGCACCAATGTGGTACAGATCTCTCCTCGTAAAAATTTCCTTCCATTAATCTCAAAACAGCAAAAAAAAAATTATCAATTTGTAATTAATAAAAGCATTAGAAAGGAAAAAACTACAGAAACTATATAGATAATTAATGTTTTGAGTTCATTTAATTTGAACGATTTGCCAACAAAATGGAGCATGTGATACATGAAAAAGACCCCACAGTCCAAATTGTCAACTTTTTCTTTTCTCCATTCCAACTCAACAACTTCAAAACCATAAGAAGGTAGCTGAGAACTCTTTGGATGATTTCTTTTGCCAAGAAAAGCACCAATTTGAACACACTGACATAAAATATAAAAGTTTAGAATACATTAAAATCAAAAAAGTTAAATCGGAAACAATGAATCAACAATAACATAACAAAAAAAACAAACACAAGCATACCATCTTTGAACACAATTCTTTTGTATAAACAAGAGCAGAATCAGTCCAGATAATGTTGTCAAGATAATATACCAACTCTTTTGTATGATCAATAACATACAAAATGTAGTGATTCTCAATAAGAACAGGAAAATAAATCTGAAAGAGAAAAATTAAAAGAGATTTAAATAGAGCATATCATAAAGAGAACTCTTTAAGATTTATTACATTAAGTTTAGAATAAATATACCAGATCAGCATCCATTATATCACATTCTGGATTCTCATAACTAACCCAACCTTCCCATAGGTCGTGCAAATCCTTAACAGCACTAGATATGTTACCTTTGTCAATATTGTCACAAACATGCAAGAATGCAAACTATTAAAGTATAAGATCTCAATAATATATATATAGAGTAATTATGTTAAGATATATAAAAAAAAGAATGAAATAACTTACACTCTGCCTAACACCAAAGAAGAATTTTCGAGGACCTGTAGCCTGAAAACATGCTTTCTAATTCAAATCCAGATAGAAGCAATCAATAACGCACCATCGAATCGTGAGTGGAGCAACAAGGGACACCATGTCTTCTCTTGGAATTAAAAAGTTCATACCAAGAGTAACAAGGCTCTCACTAAAACAATGAAAAATAAGATCAGCATTAAAAAAAAACAAAAAAATATAAGAAAAAAAAACAGATTAAAAATAATTATAATAAAAAAGGACAGTTAACTTCCTATCCATTGAAACATCCTTCAGCAAACAATAATCGAGAATTTCCAAATGTAACCAAGGCAAATTCTTGAAAATCTGAGCATTTCTCTTTACAAAAAGAGTTACAAAAGGCACCTGCACACCTACATGTCCACAGTCCAGAGAGCATAGAGATTTATTTGCTCTGAAGATACGTCGAGGAGGTTCATTTTGATCAATATGCCCGACAGGAATGTTTTCAGTAGGACCAGGAATGATAGCAGAAGGTCCAGAACCATTAAGGCCTTCATTAACTATTTTTCCATGACCATTGTCATCATCCTTAGGAATATTTTCATTGAAACCTTGTGCAGGTTCTTTTTCAGGAACAACATCTTTGTTACCTTCTATAGGTTCATAAAAACCGCGAAACATATCATGTACAAACTTCATTTTATTACATTCATCAATTAAACCATCTAAAATCTTCAGATAATGAGGATCAGAGAGTAGCAGTTCAGTTTGAGAAACTGAAACAGAATCATCAAAAGATATGGAAACACTTCTGCGAGAAGTAATCAGATCATTCAAGGTTTGAAAACCAGTTGACTGAACAAATAATAAAACATCCATATTTCTTTTAAACAAAAGAAACTTTTCATGAACAACCTACAAACATATGAACAAAGAAAAAAAAATTAAATGTTATAAATAAAAATAATAAAATAAGTAGGAAATCTAAATATATGCTAAAAGTGACCCTTTTAAATGCATAAAGTGACCCTTTTAAATGAAAAAAGTTACCCTTTTGTATGAATAAAGTAACCCTTTTAACTTTATATTTAAGATAACTTTAGTGCATATAAAGGGTAACTTCGGTGCAAATAAAGGGTAACTTTGGTACACAAAAAGGGTAACTTTTGTACACAAAAGGGTAACTTTTGTCACAAAAAGGGTAACTTTTGTACACAAAATGGGTAACTTTTGTACAAAATAACTAAACATATAAGAAAACAGAACACTTATATCAGTTGAAATTTTTTTAATTTCTTCATCAGTCATAATACCTTCTGGAAGATCAAATGCAACAATGCGACCAGTGGTACCACTTGTAGAAGCACCCTTATCATAACCCAAAGTATGAGCTGGCTTAAAAACAGTTCCCCTAAAATTAAGCTGTGACACAGGATATGTAATAGTATCCAACGGTCCCTGCCGATAACCACCAGCTTTGATCTCTAACTTAATCTGCTTCTTAATCTTTACATCCGTCCAATGTTGAATCAAAGGAACAGTACTACTTTCCTTTTCACCTTGAAAATTTAGACGATGAAAATACATAATTTGCAAAGCCAGCAAACAACCACTAACATTTTGAGCATTTTCATTATCCCTATACTTCTGAACAGCCTTCTTTAACTTTTTCAAAACATATGAACACCAATCGAAAGTTTTAATTTCATCAACTTTTTCAACAGCTTTCAGCAACTTCAATGAAACAGTCCTAATAGTAGTAGGAGCTAAAAAGCTAGACATAGCTTGAAGAACAAAACACCTTTTAAATTCTTCCCCTCCATCAACCAAATCTACCATTCTAGACTCCAATTTCGACAAATGACGAGGTTGCTTACTAGAAAGACCATAATCAGATCTCCATGCCTGAATGATACGTTTATCTACACTTTCATCTTCAGAATTTTTATTAAGTTCAGGAACGCAAATATGACTCAAAGGCAAGCAAAACACATCGCATATATCATTTCTAGTAACAACAAATTCTTTACCAGTAGCGATGGTAAACATGCAGCTACCAGCATTGAAGTTTTCAACAAGCCAAGGTAGCATTTAACGATGAAGAGTTTTCAATTTAAGATGTAATAAACCTCGAAAACCAATTTCTTCAACACCCTGTTTTTCTCTGGACTAAAGTTATGCAGCAAAATTTCCAATGAATAGGGTCTACATCTTGCAATCAAGCTTCTTTGCTCCCTAAATAGAAAAAAAAGAAAGAAAATGTTACTAAAACAATATAAAATAAAAACAAAATATAAATAAAAATGTAATAAAAAAATATGTATACCTACACAAAAGATTCATAATCAGAATCAGAAAGCATTTCATAATCAGAATCTTCCACTGTATTAGCTTTCTCAGGTACAATTTTGGCCTTCTTAGGAACTATTTTGGCCTTCTCAGACTCTGGTTTGTCACTTTTAGAAATAATTAAGCCCTTCTCAGGAATTTTCACAGCCTTT